TAAAAATTTTTTAAAAAATTAGTAATTCTATTTTTAGAGCAGTTTTAAGTTCACAGCAGAATGGAAGGTTACAGAGGGTTAGCCTGTAATGAACCCCCCCCCCCCCCCCGGCCGCCGCACATACATAGAGCACATCTTCCCCCTCTAACCGTATCCTCGCTTGCATGGTACATTTATTATAATTGATTAGCATACAGGGACACAGTGTTACCACTCAGAGTCTATAGTTCATTTACGTTAGGGTTCAGTCTTGGTGTTATATACTTGGTGTTGTTTTGACAAATGTGTCATAACATAGCTGCCATGGTATTGTCCAGAATTTAGTGTCCTACAGAATTCTTTATTGTAAAATATGGCCCTAAAAATTCTTACCTGTTCCTCTCTTCCTCCCCACTTATCCCTGGCAACTGCTGGTCTTTTTATTGCCTCCGTAGTTTGCCTTTTCCAGAATGTTATACATTTGAAATCACACTGTTTTCAGACTTTTCAGGTTGGTTTCTTTCACTTAGTAATAATGCATTTAAGCTTCTTCCTCCATGCCTTTTCATGGCTTGATAGTTCATTTCCTTTGAGTGCTGAAAAACACTGTTTTTCCTTAGAGAAGTAGTCCACTGGCTCCTAGCTCATTTTGGCTGATAGCTGGTGAAAGAACCCTGAAAATTCAACATACATTGAGTTTGTGGACTACTATATAAAATTATAGAGATTATTATTGCATTTTATTTCAGTTTAGAATGTGACAGATGGTAAACAAGTAATACTAAAGTATGCAATAACATGCATATCAAAACATTTGCTACCCGAGTGAGTGAAGTACCCTCCAACACTTTTCTAGGCTGTACTTATTTAAATTAAGCTTCCATCACTCCAATCATCTTTGTGACTACTCTTGGCATTAATTTCAGGGTTAGGTATAAAACTTCATTTTTTTTATTACTTTTTTAAAAAATTTTTTAAAATGTTTTTTATTTATTTCCTGAGAGAGAGACAGTTCGAGCAAGGGAGGGTCAGAGAGAGGGAGACACAGAATCTGAAACAGGCTCCAGGCTCTGAGCAGCTGTCAGCACAGAGCCCGATGCAGGGCTCAAACCCATGAACCATGAGATCATGACCTGAGCTGAAGTCAGACACTTAACTGACTGAGCCACCCAGGCACCCCTTTTATTACTTTTTAATGTTTATTTTTATGAGAGAGACAGAGCATGAGAGGGAGAGGGTCAGAGAGACAGAGGGAGACACAGAATCAGAAGCAGGTTCCAGGCTCTCAGCTGTCAGCACAGAGGCCAATGCAGGGCTCGAACTCTTGAGCCATGAGATCATGACCTGAGCTGAAGATGGATGCTTAACCTACTTAACTGACTGAGCCACCTGGAGCCCCCTAAACTTCATTATTTAACCCCCAAATTTCCAATTAAGTAAAAAGTGATATTAGAGATGGACCATATAACCTTGGAAAGAGCCCAGATGTCCATCAACTGATGAATGGATAAAGAGGATCTATAATGGAATATTACTCGGCAGTCAAAAAGAATGAAATCTTGTCATTTGCAGTGTATTATGCTAAGCAAAATTAGAGAAAGACTAATATCCTATGACTTCACTCATGTGGAATTTAGGATACGAAACAGATGAACATAAGGGAAGGGAAGCAAAAATAATATTAAAACAGAGAGGAAGACAAACCATAAGAGACTCTTAAATACAGAGAACAAATGGGCTTGCTGGCGGGGTTGTGGGTAGGGGTTGGGCTACATGAGCAAGGGGCATTGAGGAGGGCACTTGTTGGGAGGAGCATTAGGTGTTATATGTAGAGGATGAATCACTGGATTCTACTCCTGAAATCACTGTTGTACCGTATGCTAGCTAACTTCAACATACATTAAAATAAGTAAATTAAAAAAAAAAAAAAAGATGGGCCACACAACTATACAATCTTGTCTCTAAATATACATGGCGATTTCAGAAAGTCAGATCTGTATTGGAAAAAGGAATACTTTCTGTGACCTGGGCTGTGAGGCAGCCCGAGAGGACTTCCTGGCATACTTGAGCATCAGCATTTTGATAAAGACATGCATTGCAAAATGACTTTGACAAGTTTGTGTAAAAGTTATAAATTATACTATTTTAATCACTAAGTATGCCTTTTTCATACTTTTAGTAATAATTTTGTATTTAGCACAGTGTATCCCCCTCCTTATAGTTTCTAAAATGAAGATCATTTCAGTGGGATATGCCAAAATGGCAAAATATTAGCAACTTAAGAGTATTTAAATTTTTAGGTGTTTTTCTGATGTGACTTTCTGTATAATAAGGTTGAGCTTTTTCTACAGGTAAAATAATTTTGTAGTTAATAAAAAGAGTAATAAAAGTATAAAATATGTAGCCATATATTTTATAATGCATTTTGAAAATACTAATTTATTTGCAACAGCACTGTGAAATATTGGTTATATGGCACTTATTCCATTTTATATGATAATGTTAAAATATTCAGAATATGAAATGTATTTTAGATTTGCAGGTTTCCTTTCAAAAATACATTGCTGAAGTATTTGAAATTAAACTTTATTGAATAAGAGTTAAATGTTTTAGTTTCTTTTTGGAAGTACTCAATTTAACTTATAAATTATATAAGAATTTTAATTAAGAATATATATATATATATAGCATTGTTAGAATCTTCCTTTCTTTTTCAGGCTCAAACTGCCTTTTCTGCAAACCCTGCCAATCCAGCAATTTTGGCTGAGGCTTCTGCTCCCATTTCTCAAGATGGAAGTAGGTTTATACTTTGGGTTCGTTTTTCTTGAACAGAAACATGTTTAAGCCTTCTTTTACTGAAACAGCAGATCCAAAAATTTTTTTAAACTGTAGCATAATATGTGGTTCAAGTTCCAGTAACAGAAAAAAATGTTTACTTCAGAATATAATCCTTTAATAAAGAAAGTGAACTAGGAATATGAAGATAGGTCTTATAATTTAATCAAAATTAAATGGATTAAGTTAAATCTCAGCCCTGTAAATCCCTAATTTATGACTGATTCATTTATGAAAAAACAGTATATGTGAACTGTGCCCCGTGCTACTGCTCTTGAACTTCATGAACTGTCCTCCATCTTTGTGGGGTTTGAAATTTCCAACCGACACATTTTGGGAAAGTGTGCCAAATTGTGGAACCTCTGCGAGGTCTGTATATAATTCTCATTGGTTCCTTTTCCTTCTGAGTTTATAGAGATTTAGGACAGGGCCCCTAAATAGTACGACTTAAAATAAAAAAGGAGTATTAAATAGGTTTTTGTAGTCATTTGTGTTATAACTCCTTATAGCATTGTTTCTTCTAGAAAATTCATTTTAAGTGACAAACCTTGTAAAAAAGAACTTAAGGAAATGTACCTAACTTTGCTACTAAGTTAAATACTATTTAATATATTGTTCCTATTTAATATATTAATATATTGTTCCTAAGATTTCATTAGAATGTGGTTAGTTTTTTTAAATTCTCTGACACTAAATACATTTTTAAGCTTTTTTTTTTATTGTAGTGCAGAAGAATCATTTCAAAACAGTGTTTATTAAATGAGTTGTAAACTAGCTGGCTCGACAATAAACATTTTAGTCAGTTCTGAGGTGGGGATCAGTTGTATGCTAACGAAATTCTTAAATAGGTTTATTTTAAGAAGAAAAGGCAAGATAATTTATTTGGAAAAATTACTTCCACTCATCACTATTTAGAAATCTGAGGTTATTTCAGTCCAAATGTATTTATATTTTATGACTTTTCACCTTAAACTTTTTCTGTATTTCCCATTTCTAATTATCATTACAGAGACAAGGAGATGATTTGCCAAACTGCTAATTTAAATTCATTATAGTCTGTAAATTAAATGTAGTTTTTAAACACAAGTAGAAGCCCATAGTAACAGTTTTCATTTTAAACATTCTGATGCCTTTTTCCTTATTCCTTCATTTATGTTAGATCTCTACCCTAAACTGTATCCGGAGCTCTCTCAGTACATGGGGCTGAGTTTAAATGAAGAAGAAGTCCGTGCAAATATGGCCTTGGTCCCTGGAGCATCAGTTCAGGGGGTATGTATAGTGTAATTAATTTTGAATTGTATAAAATCATATCATAGGCATAGACAAAAGCTCTCCTCTTCTGGCCAACTCACAAATTTGTAACTTCAGCCTTGACCTCTCTTCTCTAATTTTAGATTGCCTTCTGGGTACCGCTTCTTACATGATCTACTTTCATCCTTTTCCTGCTTTCCTAGCTTATGAAGAGTGCAAACTTCAGATGCCTTTGACTAGTCCATTCTCCTTAGTCTTCTGCATTTAGTCAGCTCCTAAGACCTAGTGATTTTGTCTTCACCATGATTGTTGTATTCACTTTACCCACTCCAGTGCTACTGTAACCCTGTTCAGGGTACTTCTAACCCACATTGTTGCAGTCGTCTCTTAACTTTCTCTAGTGACTTCTATCAGACAGTACTAAGCTGCTGCTAGAGTCATCTTTCTGAAGTACAGATCCGTCATATCTTTTTGGCCATGATCTTCTAACACTCTGAAGTCTAAAGCTCCCTGTAATAAGACCCCAAACTCTAGGTTAAATATAATGTATCTCATAGCCTCTTATTAAGGTCCTTGGTGTAAGGCCATAGCACTGAATAGCGCTTATTATAATTATAGTTAACGCACAAAGACAGGGTCCGTGTCTGTGTTGTTGCCATAACCCCAGTACTTAATATAGTACCTGGCATTTATTTATTTACCAAACACTTATTGAAAACTTGCTTGGATCAGTCAGAGCCCATTTGGTAGACAGTAGATCTCTCAACAGAAAATAAGAAGTTAGACAAAGAAGTTGAAGACTTGAAAAACGCGGGCATGGAACAGAGATGTAATTGCAGAAACGAGTTGCTGCTTCTAGGACTGGGGCTACAGGGAGGAGTTTGGAGTTTTCAGGACCAAACGAGCTTGGGGGAAGGGCCCTTGGCGCTGGGCCTCGGGCCTGGGAGGAGAGGACATTGCCGTCAGTGCTGGTTCTTCGGAGGGGCTGCGGCGGCGAGGCTGGTTCTGGGAGTGGCAGTAAACGCTGGAGAATGGAAGCCACTCCCGCCATCAGGATGAAGAGCGAGGCCCAGGCCGTGCTGCCCCCTCCAGCATCCCGGCCACCTGTGGTGGACGCTGAGAGAAGCCCCCAGAGCAAGGGTGTGTAATCCACACACTTAAAGCCGCAGCCTCACCAGGTGGAGTCTAGAAGGGGGGTTGGGAGCTGACAAGCCGTAGTTCCACAGAGATTGTCATTTCCTGGGCTGAATCAGTAACAGCTTCGTAGTTGCCTTTTAGAAGATGTGATTCTTGGTAAAACTGAGGTTCAGTCCACTTTCCTGTAAGGGAGACCCTCATGCTAAAGCATTTTAGCTTTGCTGGCCACGTAGGGTTTCTGTCGCATATTCTTGTGGTTTTGTTTGTTTGCTTACAACCTGTAGAGTCGTAAAAGTCCTCCTTAGTCCAGGGGCGTATAAGCCAAGTCCGTACCGCCCATATACGGAGGTTACTCCTACCCTCTCCGCAGCACGGGACAGCGCCAGTTATCCTGGCCGGGTCTGGGCCGCGGCCGTGGGCCCGGCCTCTGTGCGGTGTTAATCACTCCTTAGTACTCACGTCCCCAGCTGCATATTTGTAACCTAAAGACAAAAGTGTAAAGTTCACTGCTATAAAAATATTCATGTATTTTAGGTAAAGGAAGTAGGGGCGAACAAAAAGATTAATTGCTATATTTACAGAAGATGTACAGGTACAACCACAGAAGGGAGCCATAGCTACTGTGATTCTTATTTTGGTGACTGATCATGACGCTGCAGTTGGTGTTGTCTCCCTTTGCCTCCTACACATTCTGTACCCCCTTTGCCTTGGACCTAGTCTTTTCTTAATACCTACTGGGGTGACCTAAACCATTTTTGAAGTGTCTGTTTCTCTGGGTTTGTTTTTGTTTTTTAAGTCTATTTATTTTGAGAGAGTGTGAGCAGGGAAGGGGAAGAGAGAAATAGGGAGAGAGTGAATATCCCAAGTGGGGTCCGTGCTGTCAGCACAGAACCTGACACTGGACTTGATCCCACATGCCCTGAGCTGAAACCAAGAGTCAGATGCTTAACCATCTGAGCTGCCAAGTGCCCTGAATCTCTGGGATTCTTGAGCATCTTGCTTTTTTCTTTCGTTTTTGTTTTATTTTGTTGCTGCAGATTTCTTCTAACCTTTTCTATCTGGTGAATTTTTCATTCCAAACACTGTACTGTTATTCTTCGGAAGTGCCATCTGGTCCTTGAGTACACTGAGCATATTCATAGTAGCTCGTTTAAAATCCCAGTCTGCTAATTTTGATTTATTATTTCTGAATTTCTATTAACTGACTTTTCTCCTAATAGGTTACATTTTCCTGAGTGGTTTTTTTTTTTTAAGTCAGAACTGGATATTGTGAAGTTTGTGTTTTCAGGCGCTGAGTCACATGCTGCTTCAGAAGTGTGGGCGCTCACTCGGCAGGCGGTTCAGTCAGTTACCTGTGTGTTAGCTCGGTCCTTCAGAGGTTTGATCTTACACACTGTGAGGGTAGGTCTGAGGCAGCCTTTATCATAGGGTTATTGTAGCCCCTGTACTCAAGCGGGGTGTCCCGTCAGGCTCTCAGCTGAAGGCCCAGGGTATTTAATGAGCACCCCACTCCCGTTGCTAGGGCTTTGGATGTGCCCCCAGCCCCGCGGGATATGTATGAAACCTCAGCCTCCAGCCCCCCACTGCGTGTCCTTTGCCGGGCCTTTGGAGCCCTGTCTCACTGGGGTGCTGGGATTAGTAATCAGCAGACAGTTCAAAGTGACCCCTAGACAGATTTCTGGAGCTTTTTCTCTGTGTAGCTCCCTCCTTTTTGGCACTCAGCCCTGTAAGTTCTAGTAGTCTTTCTAGCTGCTTCTGCCTTCCTGATTTTTGTCTTCTCAACTTATAAGAGCACAGTGCTCTGCCTGGGACTTGTACTTGTGTGTTGCAGTCCACTTAGTGGTCTGGGCACAAAGCCAGGTGAGGATCGGGCTCACCTCATGTGTTCCCCGTCTTTCAGGGTTTGCTGCCCTACGCACGTAGTGTCCACTGTCCAGAGGTAGTTGCTGCCTCGTATCTTTCCAGTTTTCTGGTTATTTATAGCAGGAGAGGAATTCTGGCTTCATCGTGACTGCAAGCAAAATCTATTTTTCTGTTATTTTACTGTTGGACATGGAAGACCTAAGAGGCATCTCAGAGAACCTTCTGGATTCTTTTATTTATTTATTTTTTTTACATATTTTTGAGAGACACAAAGAATGAGTGGAGGGGAAGCAGAGAGAGAAGGAGATACAGAATCTGAAGCAGCTCCAGGCTCTGAACAAATGTTCAGCACAGAGCCTGATGTGGGGCTTGAACCCACAAACCGTGAGATCATGACCTGAGCTGAAGTCGGCCGCTCAACTGACCGAGCCACCCAGGCGCCCCATGAATTCTAAACATAGTCTAGAACCCATTATCAAGTAGCAACCCAGTTTCGCTTGGTACCAGAATTAATCACACCAGCCAATTTAGTAACGTCTGCCTGCCTTTGTTCAGTGGCATATGAAGTCCAAGACAATGGTTAGGTGACGTTCTCATTCCGGGGAGACAGTGTCATGTTCCCAGGCGGAGGCGTTCCTCCTTTGTAAATAAGACCTTCACACCATAGAGCTCAAGGTGAGGGGACAGGCTGCGGAAGTTCTGTGTGTGTTTAGATGTTAATAGAGGAACTATTCCCACAGCCACACCCTGGTTTCCAGACCTTTCATTGTGGCCTTGAAAACAACCGCATCATGTATTTGGTTGCACATTCAGAGCAGTATTCTATCCTGGATGGTAGAACCATCTCAGAATGTGTCTTCCACTGGCACCTTAAATGAGAGATGAGAGCCAGGAGCTTAAGAACCCACATGTTCCACGCCCTGGGCTGGTGTGGTAGGTGGGGTGGACCACAGCAATGCCCTGCGCCCCGCCACACACCCTAGTGAAACACAGTGTATACTGATAAGCCAGTGCTTATGACATGAACCAAATGGAGAGGAAGTGAATAAAGTACCAGGGCTCTATGTCAATACAGTGAGCATATATGTTCTCTGACAGGTTGACGTAGGAGTAAAGAACTGAGTCAAATGAGGCAGTAAGGGATGTGAATATCTAGTCAGAGAACAGAGAGAACTCGACGGCTTTCAGGCAGAAATGAACTTGGTGAACTTGAGAGACAAGACTTGTGTGATGGTAGAGGAAGAAAGTGGAACATGGTAGTAGCAGATGGCATTGGAGGGATAGTGAGGGACGGGTGGTCTGTGGCCTTGTAGACCATGGTAGGGGATTGGGACCTGAGTTGTGGGAGTGGTGGAATCTGATTTCTTTCTTTTCCTTTTTTTTTTTTTTTTTTTTTTTAGATTTAGGGTTTTGCTTTGTGGACCATCAGGAAGACAGTCTAGAAGGTTATTGTAGTAGTCCTTGCCAGAAATAGTTGGTTGCTTGCTTAGAATGGGGGGAGCAGAGATAATGTGGTGTTGGGCACATAATAACATCTACGTATTGCTGGAAAAAATAGATTTTTCAAAAGTAAGAGCCACTCCAGAGCTTCCATGCCCTTTTGTTCTACATTCCAGCCAAACAAAATAATTTATTTAAGTTTTCTGTTTCTGTGCCATGACCTGGTTTTCGTGTGTCTCATAGCTGTAGTCATTCGTTTTGAACCTTTGTAATCTTCTACATAATATTTTCTGGTATGGTGTTCCGATTTCTAGTATAATGTATGTGCGCATTACTCCTGTTAGACTTTTAGCTTCAGGACATGCAGTCATAATTACCACAAATTCTGAAAAAAAAAATTGCAATCCGTGGTGATTATGTAGCTGAGGTTCCTTCCGCCCTGTGACTACTGCTCTGAGCGTCATAGCTCTTAGGTCAGAGGTTCCTTTGACAGATTCCAATGTAGAAGCCTTGCTAAGCTCTTCCCGCGGTGTCTTTTTGGTTGAGGAAAGGCTCCACTTGAACTAGAAAACCAGTTTTGGTCAAGAAAACTTGAGAACATTGAGACACTGGAAACATGGTATGGGCTGGTATGGGCCGTGAACTCCAAGTGCAGCCACCCTCGGGCAGTCTGGTCTGTGCACACGATTGGTCAGTCCGTAAGTGTTCCCTGTGGAGGCTGCGGAAGGACCGCTCCACCCCGTGTGCCAGCTCGCCTGGGACAGGCAGCTGTGATCCTTACAGTGGCACTGGGAGGTGAGAGGGTCTCCCTTTTACAGAAGCTCTGAAAGGGTCACTACATGGCTACAGATCAGACCATATATGGGAGAACCTTCTGGAACATGTGTGAGTTTTCAAGAGTGTGATAATGGCCTTTAAGCCCAGGGATAATACTTTTGAAGGAAGACAAGCAGAGTATACTGTGAATTCAGAGGGCAACGGAGAAAGTCATTGCATCTTTTGGAGGTGATAAATGTAAATTTCCTTAAGAATTAGTAAATAAAAGCGAGGGTCATTTTTGTGTAGATCCATTTATTTGAAGGAAACAGTATGCAAGTTACTTTTTGGGAAATCACAACTGACTAGATTCAAGTTAATTATCATTTTAGGTTTTTTCATGAAGAATGTTTCTAAGTATTGACATGTTGTATATGTTTTTGCCAGCAGCTGGTAGCAAGACCTTCCAGTATGAACTATATGGTGGCTCCCGTAACTGGTAATGACGTGGGAATTCGTAGAGCAGAAATTAAGCAAGGGATCCGTGAAGTCATTTTGTGTAAGGATCAAGATGGGAAGATTGGACTCAGGCTTAAATCAATAGATAATGTAAGTATTTTTAATTATCTTTCAGTTTGTCAGAATAGCTTATGGCATATTAAGTGATCAGTATTAGAATAATTTACAGTGCACGTGGTTTAATTATATTGCGTCTATAATCAAGATTATTTTAAATCCACTAACTTAAATTTTCCCACTTGGAGATGCTGGGACAGAGCTGATACTTCATCACTTTAAATGAAGTTGGTTTTTTTTTTGAGTCTCCTTTCTGGAATAAAGTTCATTGGTCTACGTAGATTACAATTATCCAGATAAAGTTATGACATTCAGATAGGGCATATGTAGCTGTGAGGACTGACCAGTGAGAGTCGGTGGTCTTGTGTGTGTTTTTTAAATAAGGACCATTTAACTTGGGAAGTGTGTTTGCAGGTTTGTTACTTCCATCCTTCAATGTGAATTTAATAGGTCATTTTTGGAGCAAAAGTGCTTTTCTAATTAGGGCAGTCATTATTTTACCTTCGTAACTACTTCTTACCTCCCCATACTGAAGAAATGAAATAGGGCAGTTGCTCTCTGGGGAGGCATTTGGGATGGTTACGGACATGGTTAGTCTTTGCCCCGATTCGTGGTTTTAGGAATTACCTGAGATTCCTTACTGGCCTTAAGTCTTACTAGCTCAGCGTGTCCAACCTTCTCACGTAGAAAATAATGATGATGCTGAGTGTTGCACATCACACCATGGTAAGTGGCCGAGGCTGATCTTGGCAGGAAGCCCCGGCCCCGCCTGCCTACCCAGAGGGCTCAGGGCATCGGTGGCATAGCACGCGGGTAATCTGTGCAGGACACATCACCGTGCTTCTCGGGAGCCCTCACTTCACTTCTCTCCCTTCCTTTTCAGTAGTGTGTGCTTCTCCTTCCTCTGTCCTGGACGACAAGCTACTCTTCACGGGCCCCTGCCTCCATGGCACTTATCCCTGCAGTGGATTTCGCCATTTGGCCAAAACTCATCGTCATTGCTCTGACCATATCACAGGGTGCCGCCTGGTTTTCAGTGCTGCCATGTGTAAACTGTAAGGTATAGGACAGGAGTTCTGTCTGACGCAGCCTAAGAGTAGAGAAACGGTCGAGCTTTGTAGATGCTTTCATGTTTTGGCCAAGTTTTACTCTTAACTTACTTTTGAGAAGAGTATGAGAGAGGGAGACACAGAATATGAAGCGGGTTCCAGGCTCCGAGTTGTCAGCACAGAGCCCAACACAGGGCTCGAACTCATAAACCACAAGATCATGATCTGAGCCGCAATTGGACGCTTAACCAACTGAGCCACCCACACACCCTTGTTTTTGTTTTGTTTTTTTTTAATTTCAACATCTGAGATTGAGAGTTTGTAGGAGTATAGTGGGTTTAGTTCTTTGTTGACTATACTTGAGTTTTTTGTATTTATTTCATAGTGGATTCTTTATAAAAACTGGAGTGGTATTATTGAATGTACTTTTTAGGCTGTTAAATAAACCTTAATCTCATTTGATTAGCCATAATTTAGCCAGTGGGTTGAGGAGTCCTTCAGTTCTAAAGGAGAGTTATGACCTCATACTGTCATTTAAAAAAAAATTTTTTTTTAAGGTTTATTTTGGAGAGGGAGGGAGACACAATCTGAAGCAGGCTCCAGGCTCTGAGCTGTCAGCACAGAGCCCGATGTGGGCTTGAACCCCTGAACTGTGAGACCAGATGCTTAACTGACTGAGCCATTTTAATTCCAAAATGAAGGGGCTGATTGGTCGGGTGGGTCATGATTTGAGGTAGAAATTACTAGTGAGATTTTACATTTTTGCCTTCTTTCTTGGAGTCATTGCCTTGATAAAATCTTCAGTTTCTTTTTTAGGAGTAATGACATATATATTCATGTAGTGGTTTTTTTTCCCCCAAGGGTAGATCCATAACCTGAACAGTTGGTACCTAATTTTTCAGTATTTTTAAACCATATCATTGGGGCGCCTGGGGGCCTCAGTTGGTTAAGCTTCCGACTTCGGCTCAGGTCATGATTTCACGGTTTGTGGGTTCGAGCCCCGTGTCGGGCTCTTTGCTGACAGCTCAGAGCCTGGAGCCTGTTTCAGACTCTGTGTCACCCTTTCTCTTTGCACTTTGTCTCTCTCTCTCTCTCTCAAAAGTAAATAAACATTAAAAAAATTTTTTTTAAATCATATCATAACAGTGGTAAATGACTAAAGTTATTTTCTTATTCTCTAGGGTGTATTTGTTCAGCTGGTCCAGGCAAATTCTCCAGCCTCTTTGGTTGGTCTGAGATTTGGGGACCAAGTGCTCCAGATCAACGGGGAAAACTGTGCAGGCTGGAGCTCTGATAAGGCGCATAAGGTGCTCAAACAGGCTTTTGGAGAGAAGATAACCATGACTGTTCGTGACCGGTAAGTTGACTAGACAGTTGAAACGGAAACCAGATTGGTTTTCCATTTTCTTGGGCTTTTAAGATTCTGTGGCTGTGCTCCTGTGTTGCAGAAGACTATTCGATGGTATTGATTAGCCTTACAGTCTTGCATTTGTGTGGTGCAGCTTTTTCTTAAATAAATCTTTAGAGCATTCTGGTTTTGTATGCGTCCTTCAAGAAGTTACGATCTGTCTTTTTCTCTAGATCGTAGAAAATGAACATTGGAAAAGTAAGCGCACGGCATCGCTGGCCTCACTTTGCAGTTCACTGTGTAGACATCCGGCACAGGCTGGACACGGCCAGGGCCAGGGCCCCTGCGGATCCCCCGGGTCGGGGTGGCAGTTCTAAAAACCAAACCTGGCCTTTAGGGTGGCTCCAAAGCTCTAGTGGTCAAGGTGGAAAGGTAGCATGTGATATTTAGCAGTTGATAAACTAAACATGTGGCACATGAAATCAGGGCCTCTCTGTTCTTGCCCCTTAACATGGGTGTTAAGGGTCAACCCATGTCACATTGTTACAGTCAGCTGTTGGGTTTTAATTCTTCTCCGTTAAACTTAGGTTTTATCTAATTTTGTTTCTAGTTTCTCACACGGTAGGTATTTGGTAAACATTTTGCAGATGGAACACCATAGTTACTTTAAGGAGAATTTCGAAGAGTAACTCGGACCAGTAGGAAGAATTCAGTTTTTCACTTAGCCCATTATGTTCACAGGCCCTTTGAACGGACAATCACCATGCATAAGGATAGTACTGGACACGTCGGCTTCATCTTTAAAAATGGAAAGATCACATCCATAGTGAAAGACAGTTCGGCAGCCAGAAATGGTCTTCTCACAGAACATAACATCTGTGAAGTCAACGGGCAGAACGTCATTGGGCTGAAGGTAGGGGCAGCGCTTCTGCCTGGTGCTGCGGTTTTGTTTTAGCCGCCACCTTTTCCGTTTGTCTAAGTGGTGTTTTCACGTAGACTGCCAGAGCAGACACGAGCCTGGGGGAGTGGGGCCTGGGACTCTGTGCTCTCGGGCTGAGGGAATTAGGTGTAGTCTGGAGTTACCGTCCTATGGCAAAGGCCTTGACCGCTGTCATCTGTGCGGACCTGTGGGCACTGAGGGGTTTGGTGACATTCTGAATGAATGATTGCTCAGCTTTTGTTCAACCAAGAAATGGTAGGAAATGAGTAATGGTTTCCGTGTATACTAGTACCACATTTTCCCCCTCCTCAGATTCCTAACTAAGACTATATTAAGGTCTAAAGATTTTCATTGAGATGTGCTCGTTTCATAAACTTGGTTAGGAATGCACTGTTAACCAGGGGGGGTGTGGAAGCTTTGGATGTGAAGAAAATTATTTCATCTTAAGTCATGAAAAAGATGATTTTTTAGCTCCAGTATTTACTCGGTTAGCAGATTTGTTGCCATCTATAAAATTGCGATTCTGTAGAATTAAACTTGGTGAAACTAGAAAAAATAGCAAATATCAAGGGTCAGATTTGGGAATCACTAGCAAAACTAATGCAGACATATTTACCAAGAATAATGTAATTTCATTTTATTAAATAAAGCCTTAGAATTAATTTTCATTACGTGTTTTTAACAGGACTCTCAAATTGCAGACATACTGTCCACATCTGAGTCTGTAGTTACCATTACCATCATGCCTGCTTTTATCTTTGAACATATTATTAAACGGTGAGTAGACAATACTTAAACCTGCTGTGAGTTAAAAGAGAGCACAGTGCTTATATTAATTCCTACCTCTTGGTTCTTTTACCTAAGGGATGACATGGTGTTTATGTAGAAATTTGAAGTGAATTATTTAAGTCAGAGGAATTGGTAAGGATGAGCCCTCACAGCTTCCCAAGTATTGAATAAAATCCACCACACGTCTCTGAAATGTCGGCATTTTCTGGGAGGAGAGCTGCGGGAGCGGGAGCGGGCAGGCTCTCATTTCTGCTTTCAGTAACGCGGACCACGGTCGCTGCCCGCGTTTCCTCTGCTCAGCAGAAATCCCGTGGGGTCCACGACAGAGAAGTCTTGCCTGTGGGATGCCAGGAGTAACAGTTCCTGTTCCGAAAGCGCCGCAGGAGGCAGGGCGAGGCGCGTGGTGCTCCCTCGGTCCTCAGGAAGGCAGGCGGGAAAGCTGCCGTGGGGGGAGTGGGGGGGCGGCCGGCGTTCCCTTCCCGAGCCCCTTGACAGTCCTGGCTTCTGTCCGCGGTTTTTACCAAGCTAGCTCAGATCCTGTTTTTCAGACTGTCTTGCCTGTGGAAATAGGATCTCAAAGAGTAAAACCATAATACCTTAGTACAAAATCTCTTACGGGCAGGAAAAAAAAAGTTGGAGTCCAGACTAGTTGTCGAGTTCTCTTCCCCCAGTGATAGGCTCTCCCTTCCCGTTTCCCTCCCGGCTCACAGCGGTGGTGTGTGTCTCATTTTCCTTGCTTTTTAGTCATTGGTGTTAATAATCAAGGACTTAATTATATCTCATCTAACTTTCACGCTGGGTATTTTGTGAACTAGATTATCTGAGACTCTTAGACCCGAACTCATTAAAAAGACCTTCCCTCTCCCCGCAATTCCACTTGATTTCTAACAAGGCGAGGCTGGAGTGGGAGTTTTCTTGGACCAGCATAGCCTTTTTGAAAAAAGCCCAAACCTCAGTATTTCATAAACTCTCTCCTAGGATGGCACCAAGCATCATGAAAAGCCTGATGGATCACACCATTCCTGAGGTTTAAACATCATGGCACAATGGAAACTTCGCTGAACTTCTCCAGTTTACTTCTTGGGCAACTTAACTTTATATTATGCACATGAAGCTTTCTAGGAGCCAGAGAGCATATGCTGCATGAAGACCATTTTTTCCTTACATCATGGCTGGGAGTCTTACCCATTTGATCGGTATCTTGTTCACACTTCAAGATCGTTGTAGCCTTACCCTGGTTTTACAGATGTGAAACTTTGGACAGATGTACTGATTTTCATAGAATAGTTTCTCTACTGGAAGCCCGATGCTTTTACAAGCCATTACGATTAGAATGACTGATACAGGCTTAGCTCTGTTAGAACAAATCACCTTTATCCTGTGTATCAAGTAGTGCTGCTCATGTTACTTTAATTCTATGGTATAATTGCATTTTTAATGTGTTACCATAGTACCTGTAGAATGATTGCTTTTTTAGTTCGTGTGTGCACGTGCATGTGTGCGCGTGCGTGTAAAATGCCAGTTAAGTATGCTGGTTCCATTCCATGTAAGCATTATACAGTGTAGGGTGCAAGAGATTGTGTTGATCATCATTAAATTGTAACTACCTTTACTCTCTAAGCTTGAACTGTCGCCTTAACTGTGTTCAGCATCTAGAATAAAAGCCAAAATAGCACTATTGCTGCCTTTCTAAGACCCAGAATGCAGTTCCCTGTCACACTGCCATGTGCCCTGGCCCAGAACAGTTAATGGTACACACGAGCCACTGCATAGCTGCTTAGTTGCATTTGAGATTTTCTAGTCATCGTGTCACGGAGATTTCTTTCTTCCAAAAGTTACTGATCTTACTTTCTGAGAAATGAATCACTATATATTAAATGTAAAAATTCTTTAAGTTTTTGACTTTTTTTTTCATTTGTAGATTAAGTGGAGTAATACCTACTTTTGTCATTTACTCTAACTGTGTAACCTAGCTACTTTGGGATGGCCTTAGGATGTTTTCCAGGTAATTTGTTCCATTTCCTGACCCCTCCCTACAAACCAAGTGGCAATGACACGTTATCCTCATTTGTTTTTTGGTTTGTGCCTATTCCGTTTTAATTAAATATGTATAAATAAAGTTAACCTTTTAGTCTGTTTATGCATCGTTTGGAAACAGTGTTTTTCACCAACCTCGCGCACGACTTAGAAAACAGGCGCGTGAAGCTCACACCCTGGGCCCGCGGGAGTATCACTAGCTGCCTCCGCCTGCGGCCCTGGACGGCCAGCGCGCACGCTCCAGGCGGAGCAGCAGGATGCCGCCCACCTGCCCCCGCCCCGTCACTCAGGCTATGAGATCTATAATCTTGAAAAACATTGTTAGAAGAGCTTTACTCTAAAAATCAGTTCTGTTGCTTTTACAGCTTAGCTTGTTTGAAATTTAGAAAAGCAAACCGAACCTTTCCTGGTTTACTTACCTCATTTTGTTCTCTGAGTTTGGATTATCTGAGGATAGTTCCAAAAAAATGATGAGAAGGTCATTCTTACAAAGTACAGTTTTCTAGAAGGACCAATACTGGAAGTTCTTGAAAAGCAGGAGCCTTAGTAATCATTTAAGAAAATGAAAACTGCTTTCATTACAGAAAAATATTTTTAATGTAGAAAAGATGAGCATTTAATAGCTATAATGAAATAAACCATCCTGTACACAGTAAACTTACTGTTAACAAGAATTGCTAATCCTTCCCCAGGTTCTTAGAATCTGAGGGCAGTAGGTCATACAAAGTAACCACTCCGTGAACACACCCCCCCAAACCCAGCGGGCAGGGCAGCAACTTGTAGGTAAGGAAGACAAAACGGACTCGGGAGTAGCAGAGAGTGCTGCACATGTGCTTGGAAAATTCGGAGTTCAGTGTTGTTTCAGAGTTTTCCCAACACCGCTGAGTATCTCGTGGCTACTTTTCTTTGCCCCGAAGCCTGCCTTCTGGCCCCCAGCACCCCGGGATGGCCATCCGCCTTACAGACGTCATGTCGTCCCCCTAACACCGCCATGTTTTTGCCTGGAGGCTGGCAACCAATGGCTTTCATTGAGTGAAGTCCCCATGATTTTGGAAGTTTAAAACCACAAATACCTCGTGTGGTAAAACTTCTAATTACCGTCATTGCACATTCACCAGTTCATTTCAAAGTTTGGTTTAAGAATACATTAGAGTTCAACTTAACATTCAGGAGAGGAAAAGGCACTTAATACTGCAATTTCCAGAACATAATTTGTCGGTCTTCCCCTCCTGTGATGATACTGCTACACTGTTCGTTCATCCACATACATGTCACAGCACCTAGGGGAAAGAGACCGTGCGGTTAGGCAGCAGGCTGGCCGGGGCCCCACAGACGCTGTCAAGTGCGATGCTGTCTCCTCTCATCCTGTAAGCGGTGTCTAAGTGACCAGTACGGCTCGGCACGAGGAACTTGTGAGGAGTAAGAAAGCCCTTGAACGTAAAGCTGAAATAACTGAGGACTGGGCTACAGGGCCGAGGGCGAATACGCACACCAGCAGGGCACACGGGAGGGGAAGCGGTGAGGGGCTGCTGTGAGGCTGCAAGTTCCATTTACCGGACGGAGTCAAATGTTACTTAAAGCCAGCACGCTGAGAGTGACATAAACAGATCCCTTTAGAATGTTGAAAAATAGCCATGTGACTGAATGACAGAGGGAAGAGAACGTAGGGGAAATCAGTGGTCACGGTGGAAAGGTAAACTGATCTTTATCACCTTAGAAACCGGAAGAATGGAAAACCGGAATCTTTCCGGGGACCAGGAGGCAAGCATGCAAATGGAAGCATATAATGAGTCTCCCAGAGACAGTAGGTGGGGAAACGGGGCAGAATGATGAACACACGTCCAAACCCCCGCCTCCCCACGGGGAGCCACTCCTCCGGGACAAAACTCCTTAAAGGAGGAGAACAGGGGGCTACGGAGTCGGTGGTGGGAGGAAGATCGTTTTCATTCAAATTAACTACTTTTGTGTTGTTTTAAAAAAACTTGGTGCGTCCATTTAAAAACAAGTTGGAGTTTTTCCTATGGCTTTTAATGCTCCACGTGGAAGTTCATGCAAAAGCTTCCTTTCCGGAGTCGAACGTCCATCACCATAAATGTCAGTCCTGAGGGATCGGCCGCCCGAGACGCTGGTGGGGAACACTGGCAACAGGGAGGGGAACAGGGCCTTCGCTGCCCGGGAAGAGAGGGTTTCCTCAGGGGAAAAGCAGGTTTGAGGTCAGCATTTTAGGAAGAAAGGTCAAGGCGCGCGCTCGCCGGCTTACCTGTGTGGCCCGGTATCCGCTCGCTCATTTTGCCCGCGAGGAGGTCCCAAACGAGCAGTTCACCGGACTGACTGCCCGACAGAACGGAATTCCCGTCCCAGATGAAGCACCTGCAGCAGTGATTTAGAAAGAACCAGCTGCTCACTCATCCAGCAGGAGGGGCGCGCTCGACGCTGGCCAAGGCCCGCCCGAGCGACACGATCGCGACCTTGTGGGTCGGTGTCTCCCCCCGCTAGGAACCCAGGCAGCCTACCTCTGGGGCTTGTCCGAGGCCATAGAAGAGATGAGCATTCCCGTCTGCACATCGGTGACGTTCAGGCAGCCGTCGGCACCCGTGCTCAGGACGTGGCGGCTGTCTGCAACACGAGGCCGGGCACAGCGGGTGCGGCCTCAGAAGCGCGTGGCAGGTGGTTCCGGCACAGCGCTCCCTCTCCTTCCCCCTGCGCTACCTGTACTCGACCAAGGACTCCCCTCTCCTTGGGATGTTGGTTTCTAAGACCCGGGGCTGATGACCCTTTGGTGTGAGGCCGTTTGCATGTGATGAATCAGTTTGTCTGAACTGACGGATCAGAACCTTGTCCACTCTGGCTTTTCTCAAGGTACAATGGCCCAAGAGGACCGTGTTCTGCCACGAAGCAGCCTCAGACACAGGCAGAGCTGCCTGGTTTTCTTTCTACACCTTACTATTTTAGAGGAATGATTCCGACTCCCCCCGTGTCATCTGTATTAAAAAGGATAATACTACCTGGGCTAAAAGCAGCATCACATACGGTCCCTGAATGGCACGGGATCTGGTGCAGTGCGGTGGCCGTCGTGAGGTCCCAGATACTCACTGTGCCTTCTCTGGTGCCTGAGACCAACATCGTCCCCGTAGCATTCAAGCTAATTGTATCTACCTAAGGAGGGAAACAAAGTATTCCACTTAGAATTCCGGCCATCAGCTGTCTCCCAGGCTGACTCACCTGTGTGGACGCGATAAAGGTTCAGCTCTAGTGGACAGCGTCCTGAGGGGCTAATGCACGTGCATTCCTGCATCGTCTACTGAACTACTGAGAAGTGAAATCCATCATGTGCTACTCAGTAACTGAAATATTGCCGGGGGAAATGTAATGTGGTTTTAAAATAGCCTAAAATCGGGGCGCCGGGGTGGCTCAGTCGGTTGAGCATCTGACTTCGGCTCAGGTCATGATCTCGCAGTTCATGGGTTTGAGCCCCGCATCGGGCTCTGTGCTGACAGCTCAGAGCCTGGAGCTGCTTCAGATTCTGTGTCTCCCTCTCTCTCTGACCCTCCCCTGCTCACACTATCTCTCTCTCAAAAATAAATTAGAAAAAAAAAATAGCCTAAAATCGGGACACCTGGGGGCTTCAGTCGGTTAAGCATCCCACTTTGGCTCAGGTCATGATCTCGCGGTTTGTGAGTTCAAGCCCTGTGTCGGGCTCTGTGCTGACAGCTCAGAGCCCGGAGCCTGCTTCGGAAGCCACGACCTCCTCTCTGTCCCTTTCCCACTCACACTCTCTCAAAAAATAAATGTTAAAAAAAATTTTTTTTAATTGCCTACAATTGAGAGTTTCAGAATAACTGAATTATAAATCGCAACAAGGTGCCAGAGCAGGCACAGCTCATCCACGTTATTTGAGGGGTCTGGGGAAATGGGCATCTCCCCAGGGTAGTGCTGCACGCCCCCAGCATTACATTCGCCATAACAGTTCTCAACCTCAGCTCAGCTGTCGCCCCTGCAGGTCACACACCAGTTCACCCAGAGGAGACGCAGTACCGCGAGCTCTCGTGGGAGAAGCAGTGCTGTGACCCAGCGGTAGTGGAAGGCCAAGGGGCTGCGGGCCGGCTTTGGGTCTGCCTACTCGTGTGCGCTTGGGCGGCCCGACACCAGGCCCGCGACCTCGGCTGCTGGGGGTGTCATGCTAGACCGCCCTACTTCGGTGTCAGAAGACATACTTTGTTGCCCCAAATAGTTCGAGGGGATCCAAATATTCGTCGTCATGCTCAGAAACTGGTATTTTGGAAACCAGATGGGACAGTAGCTAATTCTCAGGGAAACAGCAAAATGGAGGAAAAAAGACAAAGTAGGCTTGGAAACGCAGAGAGGCGAGTCAAAGACAAGAGCTGGGAGCCCACACTCCCCGACCAGGGAAGTAAAATGAGGCAGGAAATTGAAAGCGCGGGGAAGACGGAGAAGAGCCCCACCCCCTCGCGCGGCCCCGCCCTCTGGGCTGCGGTGGCCCAGTGCCCGCACTCACGCCCACGTCGTGTTCCAGCTCGGCCAGCGTGTCGAACTGGTGTCTCCTGGGGCACGTCATTTCTGCAGGGACACCGGACCACACCTGCGGCGGAGCATCACGGGACGTATTTGCAGACATCGAGCGCGAAACCGTTTCTAACACACCCAAGAAAAGTGCTCTGGACCAACCGGCTCCCAATTCGCCTACTTGCCAGCAGCACAAAGCTGCGACGTGGCTTCCGGCCCCTTCCTACACTGCCCACGCCTTCGTTCCTGCCCCCGGCGCCTGCCCAGGGCCCACCGGACCGTGTCTGTCTCTATCCTCTGAACTTGGCCGTTGTCAGCCGTGGTCTCTGTGTGAACTAGGGAAACCCGACTGCACAAGTGCCGTAGCGGCTGTATTTCGAGAAGACCCGAAAAGGCAAGTTGCCGAAAAAATTAGGAGACTTTGGTGCGGGCAAGAACACTGTCTGTAAGAAGGAGGGGAAATCCTGAAACTCTTGAAGGAATTCTAATAGTTTCAGGCTCTTGCTTTCCTTTTACAGAGATGCACCCTGGAACCTGAGGGTGCCGAACACTGGTGTGGCCTTCACAAGGCAGCTGGGC